AGAAAAGAAAGGAAGGTGTTCCCAGCTACGACGCATGCGTCCAAGGACACACCAAAGGAAGAGAGGAGAAGGTTCCCAGCTATGACAAAAGCATCCAGGGACACCCAAGGAGGGAGGAAGGAGAGAGAGAAGGAAAGAAAGAAAGAAAGAAAGAGAGAGGGAGAGAAAGGGAGAGGAGAGAAAAAAAGAAAAAGGCAGGTGTTCCCAGCTACGAACAAGCGTCCAGGGACACACCAAAGAAAGAGAGGGGTGATCCTGAGTGTTGCATTCAGGAAAACCCCAGGAAGCAAAGAAAGAAAGGGGGAAGGGAAGGGGGAGAAAGGGGCTAAGGTCCCAACAGGTTCCAATGAACCTCAAAAATACTTTGACCGCTGTGGTCACCTTGTGCCCTGCCGAAGCGGCTGGCTGCTTTGACCGCTGCGGTCACGTAAAGGCATAAGCCAGCTTGGAATTCCTAAAATGAGACAAAATCGGAGTTCTGGTGGCATGAGCCAGCTACTGTCCGCTGCGGACACGTACATCTCCGGGCAGGGGAGATAACGACGTACACCCGTTCGACGGGTCCACGGGAGGCACTCTGCGGGCTCATCCCGGGTTGGCACGAGGCCAAACACACTTAGCATAGGGTGTACTGAACTGAAAGCGGTGCCACACGCCGGCCTAGGTTACCAATTCCTAAGAGTACAGGTAAGGAAACCTGAAAAGGAAGTGGAGGTCCATCAAGTTCAGCGTGGCCATCAACTCTAAAGGAACCGTCGAACGACCGAGCGACAGAGTGACGTCGTCCGAAACCAAAGCCCTATGCGTGACTGCCGAGAGCAAACCGGTGCAAAGGCTGGATTTCTTGTTTTAGGTACAAGCAGGGCCCGGAGATTGGAGTAATTATCACAGCAGGTACAGGAAACTGGCCAAGTTTCCCTTCCCACTCTCGCCCACAGCTTCGTTGCGTGTGGTAGGACGAGAGTGCCACACGCCCCTGCTACACAAGGAAAACAACTGTGAAGCTAAAACAATCCGAAAGGATCCCTATGACTCCAAGGGTTACACGCACACATAGAGAGAGTGTGATCCAGAGGTTTGTTTTTGCCAGCTTCCCTGAAAGGCTGGTCACATGGTGCAGTAGACGTGCGCGCTTGCACCTGTTTTGTGGGGCTATGCAAGGGCAATCACAGTAAGAGCCTTCTTTTTATCACAACTAAAAGCCTTACTTAATTTTACTGTATCCAGCTCAAAGTCACTCTTTGTTGGTAAGAGCACCACTGCCTTGCAGGCCGCAACATTGAGCTGCTCTTGGAACAGATCAAAGAGCTGCTTTCACTCAAGGGTTTGTGGGGGGTTACACTGTGACTCGGTCACTTGGAAGACCTTGGAAAGGCCACAGACGATTTTCCACTGCTTAAAGGGGGCTTTGCCACTTCGAGTTGGATGGGTAAATTGGGGAACGGCGAGGCGAAGATCAAGAGGCTTGCCGAGTTTGACCCTTTCAGCCAAGGTTGGAGCATTTATTCAAACTTTTGCTTCTAGGTGAGGTAGCACTAAAGTTGACGGATTTGAGTGATTCTTAAAGGTTTTTTGCCATCAATTGCAAGGAATTTTGGCCGTTTCTGGGATCCACTTGCGTCTCTTCTCCTCCACGAATCAGTCGAAATTTTGGAGGTCTTGAGTTGGGTGATTGAGCCCATCCATCCGGTTGATCCATCTTTTCCTGCCATGTTGAGGTTTAAGCCCCAGATTGTGGCCTGCGATGAGCCAGGGCCCCCGGTCGTTGGCTTGTGGCCATGGCGGTGAGTGCACAGGCAGGTTTCCGAGCTCCATGGGCGTTGACCTTGTAAGCCTTCTGATGCACTTATATAAGCATGTAAATCATGAGCAGCATAAATGGGTGTGATTGGGTGGGTCTCCCCTTCCAGGCAACGACCCTGTGCAACCCGGCAAGGGGGTCTCCCTATTCAAACACACACCGATATCGAACATAGTTGAACTACCAGCTTGGTGACGCACCCTTGGTGTCAGGACTTGGTGGAAGTTCGAGTTCGGCTGACGCCAGGGCTGACGCCAGGGCAGACGCCCACGCATGAAGCGAAGACAGCGCAGAGAGTCTAAGGTCGAAGTTGGATGAACTCAAGGAAGGTGTCAAGGCCTTGGGCATCCCAGACTACGAGCCTGTCGGGGACCCGAAGGTGGAAGGGAAGGTGGAGGGTGTTTTTTTCATGCAAAAGAAACAAGCAACACCCAGCAATAGCCCCAAGTGGCTATTCATGGTTTTATAATGTATATACATGTCTTTTTCATTCTTGGACCGGCACTTGGGGATTCAGCATCATGTTGGCCAAATCTGGGGTCATGTTTCTTTTTTTGCTTGGCATTCTCGTTAGAAGTCTCTGATTTCTGTGATCACAGCCACCACACCCTTCCACGTTGTCCCAAAAACCCCTCGTTTTTCTGCTTAGACCGTTCTCTCGCGACCGTTCTCTCGCGACCGGACCGTTCCCACCAGGTCCTTTTGAGTGGCCCCGAGGGGCAGATCGAAGTGGCCCGACATCCGGACCGCCCGGAAGCGTGACGACTGACCGGGTCGGGTGGAGCGGGTGGAGGGGACGGGCGTGGCGTACGGCTTACAAGGCGGTAAACGGGTAGGTGGATGCCTCGTGGGTTGGCAGGAAACCGGAAAAATGGGAGGGGGAAGTGGACGCGTGATGTGATTGGCGTACCAAGTCTCATTTGTGGTGTGGTTGATGATGTGCTGTTAACACGTTGTTTTGCGCACTTGGGAAGTTGTCCGGGTGCCGGCAGTCAGTTCTGCTGCAGTCGGGTTGGATGTCCTCCGTTGGCCCCTTCTTTGAGGGCGTTGGACCTCCGCGTGGTTTTTGGGTCGGGCCATCCAGTGAAAAGCCAAGACATCTGACCCACCAGCTGCTTCCAGTTCCGGGTCACGGACCAGCCATCCCACTGCTTTTAAGTCGTCTCCAGACGCACGAGTGGGGTTCGACCTGTTCAGTACCAGGCTGTGCCTGCCTAAACGATCGGCCCACGCGGGGCGGCGGGATCCCGTTCGATCCAGGATCCCGTTGCACCCTGTGTTTGAAGTCGGAGATGTGCTGAGCGAAATCGATTTCCTGCTTATCTTGCAGAGAAGTCTCCACTTGAGGGGGAGACCCCTTTCTTATCATACTTCTATGAAAGACCGCTTGCAATAGTTCTTACTGAAACGGATCTTTCATAGACCACTTGCAGAACTATTTCCTCATTTTCGCCAGGACTGCAAGACCGTGGTCACTGGCATCGTTGGCTGTGCAGGGTCTGGACGCCCAGCAAACGCTGCAAGTCTTGCCCAGCAAACGCTGCGCTCTCGCCTGGGGGTCGGGTCGTGATGAAACATGGTCTTCCAGGTGTTCGGCAGGGACAGAGGGAGGAACGCAGGTCGTCCGACTTAAACAAGCTTGGAGGCACTGAAGGGGACCACGGACATGGGTGGTGTTTCTTTTTTTTTCTCCCACCTATAGGAGCTGTTCTGAAGAAAGGGGATCGGCCAAGACTGGAGACAGCATCTTGCGATTATGCACCATCATTCTATTCGTTGCGGTGCATGAGGATCGGAGGCAGATGGTGCCTTTGCCCGTCATTGCCCGTTGGTTCAAGGCTTCTTGGGAAGATTCAGCCCCACATCAACACGAGAAGCCATCCTCAAACCTGTGAAACAGCTCCAAGTGACGACGGTGACGCCCCTCCCAAGATTCTGCTGAGACTTCCATTCACCGTTCCAAAAAAGACGGGTCGAAATGGCCCCAAACGCACCGAACAGATCACATCGATCTGTCGAAAAATCGAACGTTCTCCGTCCACCGACGTTCTCCGAGATCTTTGATCCCAACACCCGCATGCACGGACCTCCGTCGCGTTGCGCGGCCGAAGCCCCCCCCCCCCCCTGCCGGACCGTGCGGTGCCGAAAAAGCACCGGCGATGGATGCGACCATGGCACCTCTGGTTTTCATCCAGATGGGTGGCACCATCGACAAGGTGGATCGGTGAGTCTTGTTGTATAGCATGCTCGTTCCAACATCTGTCTACCATGCTGTAGATTGTTTTTAGACGTCAGTGGACCATCTTGTGGACCGTTTGGTTTAAGGAGAGCCTGTGACTTAGCAGACTTAGCAGGTGCACCACTCAAAAGCGCCAAAGCTAACGAGCAGTGTCAGCGGCTGAGGCAAAGCAACTCCCGGTTCGTGTCTCTCTTTTTCAGGGCAGGTGAGCTCTGAAGCGTCCAAGAGAAGTGCCCCAGGCACTACTCAAAAAACAAGTGAAAGTCACCACAGTAATCTGGTCATCACGGACACAATGCCAAGCAATCAGGTGTGTCTGTGTCAAGCCAGCAAGCAGCAGACACAGAACTGATGCGTTCTATCTCAGTTCAAAGGTTGACACCTTTTAGAGAAGCAACTAGCGCAGTTGTCGCACTCAATTTGCGACACTTTCCGAGTGGTAATGCAAAGAGTGTGAGACACTTAAAGCAGCCCTGAGCATTCAAAGAGGTGAAAGTCATTGCCCTTCTGGCCGATTTCGAGACTTCAACCCCAAAGGGAGGATGGAACTGGATGGATCAATCAATCCTTGGTAAGGGGTTTCAAACGTTTTTCAGTATCTTGAGGTTTTAGTCAGCTACAACTTACAGGATCTCTATTTCGTTTTATTCATTGGAAAGGCAGCCAATCTGCAACTTGTCAGAATCTTGGGAGTTTTTTTTACCCCATGCAACAAAAACAAGAAATGCAAAACAAGAAGCTGCAATAGGGTGGATTTCTCCGATTTTCTTCAAGCCCGGAGCTCTTGGCAGGGCTACCCCAGAAGCCTCAAGGGCTATGCCTTCGAGATCGGCGACCCGGCGGCGGTGCGCATCGCGGAGCGTGCACGCCTGGATGGCGATGGTCTGGTGTTCCAGAGCGTGTGCCGGAAGGATAGCCAGGAGGCCGGTTTCACGGGACGGGAGGGATGGGGATGGGTGTGTGTGGGGCTCACATAGGACCCTGGAAGGTTCGGAAACTAGACCAGTCTACCGAGGGGGATCTCACTATCAACACACCCATATCATGTGAGGACGAGGGATGCACTGACCATGTGTGTGTAATGCTTGGAATTATAGGGAGCCTTTTGACTTTTTACTATTGCAGGGGGGCTGGTTGTTCATGCAAGTACCAGTCCAACGAACGGTGATATCGGTGAGGACGCTCACCGACGAACCTGCGTCATGAACGGATGACCTCTTTCTTGGCTTCGGTTTGCAGTAAAGGGCTAATGAGCTCGGCCGACTTGCGCTTGTGGATCGTTTTGTGTGATGCTCTGAAACTTAAACTCGAAGATGATTAGCAATTGGACCCATTGAGCTCGCAGGAGGTGCGCATTTGGATTTTCTAATGTTGCAGCCACTCGCAGCCGCTTGCAAGTGGCTGCCAAGTGGCTGCAAGTGACTGCTACTTCTGTCCGGAGTCCGGAGAATATCATGATTTCTCCGCATGCAGTTCTCCAGAAAACCAAGATTTCTGCAATGCTGTTCTGCGAAGAAATTCCGGTTTTCTCCCGAGAGCTGCGCGCGGAGAAATGATGAAATATTCCAAGACTTTTCGGAGAATAAATTCCAAGCTTCTGCAGAGCTAGCGACGAAGAAACCTTACATTTTTTAGATGAAGAACTCAAAGTGCAGTGTTGAAGTTTACTTGCTTGAGTGACAAGTGGCTGCAAATGGCTGCCAAGTGGTTGCCTGAGCAAGTGGCTGCAAGTGACTGCAAAGCCAAAAATCAGAATGTACGTCATTTGCTCGCTCTCTGATTAGACCGGCGCGCGTTTTCCTGGTTTATTGAGGCCTCTGTGTGGCATGTGGCATTCAGACCGTAGACAGCGGCTTAAGTGCCTGTGTGTTGACCAATAGGCAGACACCGGACCAGTGGGGTTTTGTCAATGTTCCTTCTTGCAGAAGGTCTTTGGAGGGGTTGAAAGGCAAGGGGCCCTTAGATGGGCGGAAAGGGTCCCCAGATGGGCTTCTGGGAGGCTGGGAGACTTTCTGGAAGACATTCGCGGACTGTACTATGTGGTGAACTTCTTAAGGCTGGCCAAATTGCTTGGGCCTATCTGAGTAGTGCACCATTGGTCTGTTGCTGGACTGACCGTGAAAAGGTGGGATGAGGATTGCAGAATGGACTGCCCATTGTTTGTTTGTCCTCAAGATAGAACGTTTCTGGTTCGAATTGCAGAGGTGGCGAGGAGCTGCGTGATTTCGTAGTGATGCCAAACACTTTTTGGTCACAGGTCACTGATGAGGACCGAAAACAGCTGCTCCGCTGTGTGCTAGAGCTCAAGGACAAAGCCCGCGTGGTGGTGACACACGGCACTGAGACTTGGGTGAGGCCGAGTGGACGTTTTTTCTTTCCTTTTGGTTCCTTGGATAAGATCAGCTTCGCCTTCTGGGGAATGTTGACGTTGACCAATCATGACTGTTGGCACGGTTGCATTTCTTGAAGGGTCCCATGCTCGCATGATGATTGGTCGCAAAAACATGCTCAACTGACTCAACTGGGCAACCCCGAATAGTGCTCATATGGTTGCGGGTCATGGCACCAGGAGAGTGTCGGTCGTTCGCGGCAAATGGTGGACTGGTGGGGCTCCAGTGGCTCCAGGTTGAACCACTCATTTAAATCAGCAAGTGTGGTATAATTCATGCTTACATTGACCCCTGAAATCCCTTTGGACCTTTGCAGAACTGGTCTTTCACCCCCTATGAGAAAAAACTCCCACGTAATTAGCGCAGGTGCTTAAGCGGGGTGAAGTCCCAGCCGCTGGGTCACGGCCTTGAAGTCTAAGGTAGACAGATGATTCATTAGTTTCCCAGACATGGATTGTAAGACCTCTTCATATGGAAGGTTGCACTGTCAATCAAGAGTCTACAGTCTACATTAGAGATGATAAACACCACTGTTTCGTTTTGGATTCGTGATGCACACAGGCACACCCAAAAGCTGAACACCTCCATGGGGACTTCATGTCCAGAGTCGCGCAGGAAGTTCCATCTCCTTTCGCGCGACGAGGACACGATGATCACCTCAGCTCAAGCCCTGGCAGCGGGCCTTGCAGCGGCAGCAAGGGACCTGGTGGTGGTCTTCACTGGTGCCATGTGGCTGTGGCGAAGAAACGGCAAGGGAGGAGGTCAAGGGAGCAGGTCACTAAAACCCGGGGAAATCACCTCTTTTGGTAAGACCTTTCCTGGTTCATTGAAATCATCCCGGCGGAACTCCCTTTAACGTGAAGCCCGTTCTTTCTCAAAAAAGACCCAACCCGCTGAAGTTTATGGAATGTTTGGATACAGGATCCAGCCACGAGGTTGTTTTTCAGTCAGACAACGGGAAGTGAGTGAAAGAAGTGTGTCAATCAAGAAGAGTGAAAACAGGACTTCAGGTGACCATCTCCAGGCAATCTGGTTCTGGCCACGGCATGGGCCATGGGCTTTGTATCAACGTTTCAGGAAACACTGCCACCACCCTAGGGTCCTTGGTCCTTGGCCTTGCCCCAACAGCGATGACAGAAAGAAACAGCTACCACCAGTGATCCACCAGGATGGGACTTTTGGTCAGTCACTTTTTGAGAAAGCCCAACCTCTGAGTGATGTGGGCAAGACCAAGCATCGAAAGCTATACCCACAAGTGCCATCCACGCAACCATTACCCAGACACTCCATGTGTGTCATAGGACTGCCGATCAGGCCAGGGGTGGTTTTGGGGTCAATTGATCGGCAGTCCTATGGCAGTCCCATGTGTCGTGTCTGGGTTCCAGGGTCTTCGTCGCCTTCACCGCGACTTCCAGGGTCGAATTGTGGGAGTGGCCATCGCTGAACAGCTGTGGACCGAGGAAAAGCCCATGTTGGGGGTCCCCCACGACACATGTAAACAGCTGGAACAAGGTGGAATCAGTGATCTCGTGATCCCTCTTTTTTTTTGTGCGGCTGGTTTCTTCAGGTGGAATACGGCTATAAGTTACAGTACAAAGTTTTGCAAACTATAGTGCTAGTCTTATGCTATCAACTATTTATAAGCCTTTATGGTCCAGTGGACCAACGGCGCGTTCCGAGGCTTCCGGAGGAGTTCCGCCGCAGCGACGCCGACTTCAACCTGGGCTTCGCGACGTGCGCGGCACAGACGGCGCCTAGGGGGGTCTACGTGGCGATGGGTGGACGACTCTTCCAACACGACCAGGCTGGGGAAAACCGACAGCAGCAGAACAGGGACTGGGAGTTGAAGAAAGAAAAGACAGCAGCACAGCAGCAGAACAACGGGTTTTGTTTTTTTAGAGGGTAAAACCATGGTACAAGCATGCAAGAGCCTTTTGGGTGCAAGGATTTCATCCAATGAATCAAGAGTAGGGGCCTCTGGATGGTGGAGGGGTGAGATTCGCCTCTCTCCTGCCGCAGTTAACTTGTGGCGTGTTTCATGCACTGAGATGAGGTCTCACCAGCCGTGCAGTAGCAACTGAGTGGCCAGGAAGGTCCTCAAGCAACTACTGAACCACCTCGCAGCTTCTGGGGTTCGATATAGTTGGAAGGTCCTTTGCTGGTCGTATTAGTTGGGTTGTGGTATACAACCTCTCTGAGCAAAAGCAAATCGATTCACAAGAAAATCGATTCACGGTCTGCGGTTGGATCGCGCACGCGATCGAGAACGCGCACAGAGGTGAGTCGCGATGAAGAGGGACGCTTCGTGGGAAGCTCCTGATGGACTCACGAGCTGAACATCTCACCCAAGTGCTGCCTTGCGCTGAAGGAAGAGAAGGGGGATGAGTTTGCAGAAGTGAGACAAGGAGAAGTGGAGCACCGGGTTGAAGTGCCTTTCTTTTGCATATTGCATATATATTGTGAATTTGAGGTAGGATCTCATTCTGTTGAGCCAGGTTGTCACACTATGTTGTGTCTGCCGCCATTTGGCTCCTAGGGCCCTTGAGCTATACCGTGCTCGCTTTCGCAGTGAAAAGAGCGTGTGGACAGTACGATTCCGGTTGCTACCGACATTGGTAGCGGAGCAGGTGACGGCCTGACTCCGGCACGTACTGATCCAGGTCATTGGAATCGTAGAACATCAAGCCTGAGCTTGCATTCCTTGCGTGCTTTCGCTTGCCTCCTCTGATCCCGTTGGGGACAGAGCCCGGAATAGATTGCTCGCCCGAGCAATCTCCGTCGGAATCGTCGAACATGTCCATTGCTGGACTCAAGTTCCATTCGGGTAGCACTGGTGATAGAATAGGCAACCCCCTGGAAACCAAGAGTGGGTCTTACATCTATTGGGGAGATCCTGCATCATTTCATGATTGGAAATTTCGAACCGAACTCCGCATCAAGCTGTACGACCAAGCCCAAACGCAACCAGCAAAGAAGCAGGATCCCGTGACTGGACCTGCCGATGAAGGGGAGCCTTGGCCACCAGAGTCAGACGAAGGATTCGCATTCCCTTCGCCTGGACACTATCCCGAGGAGTTTGAGCCCGAGCCGCGTGAGACTGCCGGTACTCCCAAGTCGAAGGTTGATGCAACATCACCGAAGGCTTCGTCCGTTAAGTCAGACAAGTCGAGCATCATCGATCGCAGTGTCCCAGTGAACAAGATCGTAGAAGGTTTGAGAGGTGATGCCTTTTTGCTTGCCAGAGACTTAGGTCTAGAGACACTTGCACGTCCAGGGGGACTGGAGCATCTCATCGAGGTGATACGTAACCATGTGTTTCCTCGAGCCTTGGAGGAGAGTAAGGAGCTTTTTCGCGCAGGACAGAAGCATGGAGGACCACTGTCGAGACAGCCTACAGAGAGCATGTTGTCGTACACTCAACGTCGACGACGTTGGTGGACCTTGTTGGTTGAGCTTGACCCCACAATGATGATCTCAGAAGCTTTCCGCACAGAGCTATTGCTGGAGATGTCAGGTATTTCCAGGCAGGAGATCCTCGTGGTGAAGGCTTGTCGCAAGAACGATGACTTCGAAGGTACTGCACGAGTCCTGGTTGACAACTACAGTGGAATCCATCTTCGTGAAGGGTCCCGATCCTGGACAGGACGGGGAATTCAGCCTCAGGTAGGCAAAGGCAAAGGGTACCAGAAGGGGTACCAAGGTAAAGGTAAAGGTAGCCAATACCCTCGTGCTGGTTACAATGCCATCTATCCCGATTGGGAAGACAATTTCGATTGGAGAGATGAGGACTTGCAGGAGCATCATCATGAAGAAGATTCTTTCGTAGGCATGCTAGGAGGGATTGAAGAGTCTGAAGAACATGAACATGCTAGCCATCCTGAATACGAAGATTTTGAGTATCATGATGATGTTGATGAATATGAAGCAATTGCCTTGAATGCAGTAGTTGATTGCGAAGATGCCGAAGAACGTTCCTCAGGTGATGCTATCCAATTGCAGCTTGCCGCATTCGTCGCTTTCGGGAAGGCAAAAGGCAAAGGCAAGGATAAATTCAAGGGGAAAGGTAAAGGCAAAGGTAAGATAGTGAAGTCTCACCTTAGCATTGAGCAACGTCGACAGAAACTGTCCGAGATCAAGGCGAAATCCAAGTGTCTTCGTTGTGGTGGTTTAGGTCACTGGGCCGGAGACCCCCAATGTAAGATGCCCAATGCCCCGAAGACTGGATCAGCCCCGAAACCTGCTGCACACATTGCCCACATGAGCGATTCATCCGAGGACGAGGGGATTTTTCTAGGTGCGGCGTCTCCAACCGACAGCGTTGCTCACATGGCCGTGAAGGCCAGCTCAGGAGTTCGTCCGGAGGCACCAGTGAGTCCCAACGACCTCGTAAGGCCTGAAGGGAGCGATAGGAAGTTCTTAGCTGGACAGTTCAGGGGGAAGACATTTTGGCAGATCCTTCATGAACATCCTGACTACCATCAATGGGCCATCAAGAATGGCAAGAGTCCAATCGCTTCGGCTTTCGTCACGTGGGTTGATCAGCATTTTGAATATAGGGGAGCTTCAGTTTTCAGGAAGGTTGGTGGTGCTTCTTCTTCATCGTCATTGCAGCCAATCCCAAAAGGGTCCTCCAGGAAGAAACCACCATATCCACCAAAAGAGAAATGCAAGAATTGTTCCGAGTTCACCAAACAAGGGAGCACAGCATACACCATCAAGAAGACATGCCTTGTCTGTGGGAACTCCACCACCGAGCGTAGAGAGCAAGCCCCGAAGTTTGCGTATGACGATTGCCCGCACTCGGACACCGATTTTCGAGGTTCTTCCAGGTCTGTTCACCGTGTGTATTGCAAGCTTTGTTGTTCGTTTTTGGATGAGACTCCGATGGAGCTCCAAAAGACTAGGAAGACAGCCTCTGAGAAAGTCGTCAACGCACCGCTCGATAGGATCCCAATGATTGAACGTTTGGTTGAAGAGGAACCCGAAGAAGGACACACCCCCGAGATGCTAGAGAAGATTTTGACTGAATTTGCCGCCCAAGTCGCGTTGGCAGCCGAAACCGAGGCCGTGACTTCGATCAAGTTGCACGAGCTCCTCCACCAGTCCATCGAAGAGAGCAAAGGAGACTCGTTCACCATGGTTGATTACACCGAAGATCCAGACCCATTTGCAGGGATCGGCATTTGTTTTCATGGGGAGGAACCTACCCAGATGACAGATGGTTTGGTGCACATATTTCACGAAGCCAGAGACATGTACAGCCCAGACGACGGGAACATCTACGTCGTTCTCGACGAGGGATGTAATTCCACATGCCATTCGAAGCACTGGGGAGACGTCGTTGAGGCCAAGTTGAAGAAGCTAGGATACGACTTTCCTTTTTCGACCACGACATCGAAGAACTTTGCCGGATTGGGTGAAAAAGGGACCACTACAGAAGGATCCCGCACGTTACCCTTTTCGTTGCACTTCGACGAGGGAGATCCAGTGCATGGTGTCCTTGAATCCCACCAGCTGTCAAAAGGTCGATCTCCGCTGCTTTTGTCTCTCCATGCTCAGGCACAGTTGGGACTAGTAAAGGACCTCAAGAATGGTATCATTAGCATCAATGGAAAACGCCTCAAAGTGTTCAGATGCATACACACCGGTTTGATGATGTTGGCAATTACCCCTCAACAATTGGTCCAAAGTCTCGAAGCCACCATGCCCCAAAAGATTCCAAAGTGTCATCGCAAATTTCGTGTCGCCCTCACAGCCTTCAATACTCCGATGGAGAGATTGGATACGGCAGAACGAGGGTACCAAGCTCAGACTGCCGAAGGTATCCATCGTGCGCTTGGCAACATCATTGGCAATTTGAAGAGCCGTGAGTTTTTGCTGGTCACAGGAGGTGACCGGTTTGAAGACAGGTTGTCAGAGCATGTTGGCAGTGATATCCCCGTGAAGTACATCAACGCCAAGTCGCTGTGGGATCCCGACCAAGATCCTTCGTTGCGTGGACACGTGGGAAGGCATCCGGCCATTTTGAATGGTCTTAGGAGGGATCAGAGAGGTCTTGACCGCATCTTTCGTGAGGTGGACGACTTTGTGGAGCGCCACGACAAGGGAGTTTTGGACGTGCGCTGCAAGTCAGGGCGTCATCGTTCTGTGGGCGGAAGCATGTTGATCCACAGGCATCTTGCTTCGAAGGGCTTCACGTGTGTTGTGATTCATTCTCACTCGCCTGAATGGCGTGAGATGTCGTGTGGAGGACGTTGCACTCTTTGTGGGCCGCTTTTCGGCGATACAACTGTGACATTGACTCCAGCACATACAATGAATGTTCACACTCCAAGAGCTGTTCGAGGTGATGCGGACGACCACGTGCCGTGGCGATCCGGTGAGCGTTCAACAGCACCACCACCGACACGAGAAGAGGCTATTCGCAGCACCAGTGCAAAAGCCCGCTCACTTCCACCAAAAGCCTGCCCTTCAGTACTTTCGAGGCCATCTTCATCTTCACGACCGCCGAAGGCGAGTGACGCCGTGGCATCTCGAAAGAGCAAACCAATGCCGAGCGCTGCCGTGACCTCGCCTGTGAGGCCGGTTCCGGATTTTGATGATGATGACAGCCAAGAAGACGACACCAAGTTGGACGGACAAGAGGTTTGAGAAGAGATAGAAGAGGTTGAGGTTGAAGAGCCAGAGATTCCAGCGGAAGAAACTTCGAGCGGAAGCCAAGAGATTCTGCAAGCCCTCAAGAGGTTGACAGATGCCGTGACGACGCTTGCAAATCGCAATCCACGGTCCCGTAGCCCATTGAGGAGGAGGAAGTCAGCTTGTACATCAGAACCCAACCAGAGGCCAACTAGGTCTAGGAGTCCGATTCGTCCGACCAGATCAACAGTGAAGACAGCTCCTACGATGCCGAAGACTCCACGTCCGCGCACTCCTGATCATCCACCACCACCAAATCGTCCGCCGCCCCAGCTCTTGTCCAAGTCCAGGTACGATGAAGACCAACGTCCAGGTTTGGAAGATGAGTTGTGGGTCCTTTTGACCAATGATGGGGTGCCGAAGGTTGATCAGGTGGATCCTGAACTCCTCCATGTTCTGGCTGGTGCAGCTAGGGATTGGAGCAATCGTGACAGGACTTTATGGTTGGTGAACCGCGATCTGCCGCCCAAGGATCAGCAGTGGCATGGCATCCGCGTGGACATCAAGATCAGGGGTGGAGTTTACACTTCAGCAGTCTCGAAAGCAGGCTGGATGACAAGATGGGGTTGGATCAAGTCGGTCTACGTTCGAAAACGTGAACCTGGAGCAGTCTGGGAGCGCATC